AGACCCTACGTTGGCAATGCTCAACATGACTCTGGAAGACCCTAATCTTCAGGTTGCCTAGCAGCCTTCATCATGCCATTGCTGACACCATCAAAGGAAAAGGTGAAGCCTGAGTAGTAATGAGGCCTAGAAACATGTCCCATTGGAGGATGCGCCATCAATACAAGCAGACAGCATCAGATGTATTCACACCTCTGATAGGAAAATTACATTCCGAAGCCAAAGAAAAGATTTTGGGCACTAGGTTCATGTTGAATGGTGCCTAGATCCCAGGACAACTTTGTACCAAATGAGGACTCTAATAATGTCCATCCAGATGAGCCAACCAGATCCAGTTATCACTGAGATAGCCACTACATCGAGGATAGGGTCATTGATCGCTGGCTGCTCAAGAAGGACTTACACAATAGTTGCTTTGTGCAAGGCACCACCAACAAATAGACCCTAGTTACCATCCCAGAAAGGGTTTATAGTGGAATTCTGTACCAGGTCACCTAAGGTAATGATAAACTGGCTCATGTTACAGCAGATCCAGTGCTGAAACTACACTACCAGGAGATGGTTGCAAAATGGGTAGAGGCTTGAGCCTTGTATAATGGAGGAAGATCGGCTGTAGTGAAGGACTACTCTGCCATTGGAATATAAAGAAAAATCTGGTATCTGGGAGTCAAATTATTTGAAACTGATAAGGCCCCGGAGAAGGCCCAATATAATCTCCAAGTATCCACTGCAGTCAACTGCAAAACACCAAGGCCCTGGAAATTATGCTGTAATTGTAATTTAAAGTGTAATTTGAAATATATGTATACATATATTTTAGTATTTTTAATTAGTGTCTTCTGTCTTTTGCAATCATAATTGTTGATAGGAGACAGGGTTTAACAATTTTGTATCATTATGTTTTATATATATATATTATTTTTATTATATGGTACCTTAAGTTTTTTATGCATCTGAGCATGTATGTTGAAGGTATATTCACGAATACATTTTTAAAACGCTTTAGCATTTATATTTTGTATATGTATGCGTGTGTGTGTAAATATCTTGTAAGTTTACTCACTAGTGTAAAGGAGTGTGTAAAAGTGAGAAGCAACTATTTATTTTTTGGTCTATTTTATTTATAAACCAAGAGCTTGATTTTCCTAATTTGTATTTTCATCACTGTATGCTATGTATATTGTAAGATCACAAAAGTAGTGTTTTCATAATGTTACTGGTTTATTTTTTGCATTTTTTTTCGTATTCTTACATTTACTCAGTATTGTAAATAAGTGTAACATGAATTTTATTTTATTTCCATGTATTTGAGGTTCAGAATTGAAAGTCATTCGTCCTCCATACCAACTTGGTATATAGGGGCAGTAAAAAATATTAATTCAAGTTGAATTTAAATGTGATCCATGTTAAAGAGTTTTTTATTCTATTTTATCCCTCTTTTTATTATTATTCAATTCTGTGATTAGTTTATACTGTTAAATATGGCAGGATATTTGTGTTTTAGCTAGTGTTTCTTGCTTTTTGATATTAGTTTTAGTTGATGTCAATGTGAGTGTGTACCTGCATTTTACTTTTATGTGTCAAATCATTTTCATGTATTTATCATTGTTATATTCGTTGTTAAAGGGAATTTCTTGTATCACGTCCTATCTAATAGTAAAGTTTTTGTTGGTGTGAATATATGTGTATTTAGTCACTTTAAAGGGCCTTACATTACATATTTTCTTAAGTGTATATATATATATATATATATAACATCATCTAATAGTTCAAGAGTATTGTTTTTAGTGAAAGGTTGTTTTACTTACTGTTCTGTGACTCTTAACTCTTAATTGAAAGGGTTTTATTTCAAGTAAAATTTTTATTTTATAACATAAATGAAGAGATTTCCTTTGATATGTATTATTTTTAAATCACTCTTAAGGGGTTTTACTTATGTAATAAATTGTGATTTATTGTTAAAATGCTGTGTCATCCACGAGGTGTATGCGGCTCTTTTGAACAAAATAAAGTTAATGTACTCTTTGAGCATAGTGCGAGTTTAAAATCAATATAAATTATTGGCTTGAAGACAAGTTTGAAACAGAGGAGGGAGGAAAATGTGATAAACAGACATATCAAATGTTTTCTGCTTGCTTTTAGTAATATAGGGATTTAAAAAAAATTCGCTTATCTAGTTCCTAGTTTTAGCATAAGTACGTGGTCCAGAAAATCATTGGAGTTTTTCTTCTTACAGTTGCTTTGTGTCTTCATTCTCTATTGCAGACAAGCTGAAGTACCCGTCCTTTGTCCAAGTTATGAACTTAAAAAAATGTGTGGGTGGATGTTATGATAAATAACACAAAAATCCTAACTTCCACACAATTTATTAATGACATAACATATTATTACAGTATTCAATACTACCTCACCAAAAGTTTTGGGTAAGCTTTAATAACTCAATATATACACACACACACTCTCATACACACACATATATATACTTAAAACATGGTATACACTATGCGATGGTCAGGGTGACTTTGTAGGAAAAGGTAGCAGCCAAAGTATTGGTGGTAGGGGTGCTTTCAAAACCAACCTCTTAATGTCTTTTCACAGTGTTTAACGTGATTAATTAATTGACAGTCATTGGCCACAAAAATGTCTTAAGGGACGAAGTTGAAAGGTCACAGATCAAAGTAGGAAGTGGGTATAATTCAAGAAACGGCTCTTCATATCAATCTTATGGTGGCTGTTAGGATAGAAACTTCAGATTAGTTTATGCAGTACTGTAATAGTGGCGACCATTTTGTCCTTGCATTCTTCTGTAGAGAGTGCTAGAGCACTGTTTAAGATATATAAGACCTTTGTGTGCCTTCCTCCCACACAGTGTGCATGTTGTTAAAGAAAATTTAATATTTTTAGTGTAAGGCCGTGGTGCCATCTATGAATGTATTTAACATTAATCTACGTCAAAGATAATAAGTAAATGCTCAATAACAGTAATAAAGGGAGTGAAGAGGCTGTGAACCTATATTAACATGCTCCTTGTGCCAAACTATCATCCCACAAAGTTTGGTTGAGATTGGCCCAGCGACCTAGGAGTAGTTAAATAATGGACAGACAGACAAGTAGACAGACATATTTTGTGTTTTATATATATATCTAATAAAAAACCTTAAGTGTTAAAAAAGGTGCAACCAAAAAAACTTGAGCGTGCGATGGTGGGTAAAATAAAATACGCAACGAGCTAGCTAATGAATGAATATTTGCTGTAAAATTCTTATCAATGCTATAAGCGAAGCTACCAATTTGGCCGCCGATTTTGATTTCATTCCTTTAAGTCGAATGCTGAATCCTTTTTTGGTCGCACTTTTTTTTCACACCTAAGGTATTTTTGATTAGATATCATGACTTTTTGTCAATACACACCAACAAACTACACAAAATAAGAAAGTGACACTGATAGTAACCAACATTCGTTAAATTTTATTCCATGCAACTTTCGCATAAACACTGGACAACAAAACCATTGAGTCGTTTTAAAACCATTTTATTCTAGTTGCCATTGTTTCTTTGGTGTTCTCTAGTGGATAATATTTACTTCTCCGGTAGGAATATTCCTGCAACTTCACACATTGTGCAAAAAGGCCGATGGTAGCAATGTCTTTCTTCTCACCGAATAGATTGTATCAGAGATCACGGCCTTCACTATGATCAGTAACATGCATAGCAGTAGTTGTTATCGGTCAGTCGGACGTTTCCTGTTAAGTATGGAGCATTGGTCATCAAAGTGAGTAGGTCAACCGAAAGACGTCTGCTAGGACGAGAGCTGTTGATCAATTTTCAGATACGGTGAGAAGTGACATTTTAGTATTTATGCAAGTATCACACTGTATTTTTGTTTTGCGTATAAATAGATTTTGCGTTTTACTTTACATCATGTTTCTGGTCTATATATTTTCTTAACATAAAGTATCCCTTGTAAAACGGAGTTATCTAATACTAGTACGGAAATCAGTTTCACTAGAATATATCAATGACAACGATTAATTATTTAGTTCATAATTGTATATTATTGTACGACAATAAAAATATATTGTGAAACAGAAATAAATGCTAGATCAGCGATTCCCAAACTTCAGTCATTCGCGTGCCACCTTCACGATTTTTGCCATATTTGCGTACCACCTGAACTATTACTTACGTTTTACTTAATATTTTTCTTTAAATCGACTCATTTTTTATTTAAATAAATTCATTTTAAAAGGAAATTCCATAACACTGGGATAAATGAAAAACTAGTATCACTTACCATAATATTTATTTCAAAACAATATTTTTCTCATCTCAAAATAGTATTGTTATAACAAAGTGGACCAGTGTTTAATTGGCGGCAGATAATGTAATATATTTTCTTAGAATTTTGTTCTAATACACATTAAAATAAATATATAACTATTAAAATAAAAAAGTTGTCTGCGTTCCACCTAAAATAATCTCGTGTACCACTAGAGGTACGCATACCACACTTTGGGAAACACTGTGCTAGATCATTACAATGCACTATTAAAGGAAATATAAATATCTTGCTATTAGAATATTTTATTTTTTTCTGTTTGGATGGCATTTTTTTAGTTGTGAGTATAATTGGTTGTTGTGATTGCTGTTAAGCGCAAAACTACACAAAGAGCTATCTGTGCTCTATTCACCGCGGGTATCGAAACCCGATTTGCCAATACATTTGACAAGCAAATAATGAAAAAAAAAATAGCATTTATAGTATGAGTATAAAATTTAAGAACAACGATGCTCAGTACTTACACATAATTACAAGAAACTTATGTAATTTCTAAATAATTTCAAAGTTGTTCTTAAAATTGTTACAAACTCATGATGATCTAGTTCAAATCTCAACTTGAAAGTTTTGTTTTTACTCGTTATTTTATATAATTTTTGTACAAATTTAAGCAATAGACGGCGTGTTGGTTGTCAGCATTCTTATTGGTAGCGGGTTTTTGAAATGTACGTTGCGTGACGTTAGGCTAAAGGGAAATACTTTTTAATTTTATTTGTTATGTAACAGTATTAGTATTATTCATAACGTGGGTAAGTAATTCTTTGCAAAGAAAAATATTAAAAGATAATATGCTACGATTTTAATTTTTATACAGTTTTTTCTGTAACCTTTTTTCTTGTGTAGGTTAATTACGTACTCATTAAAATTTAAATCACACATATTGCTCTATTTTATATTATATAAATTTGATGGGAATAACGATTACGTTTAAAAACCAGTAACTTAGGCTTAACATGATAATAATTAATATTAATAGCAAAACTACTACTAGTAGTTTCACTACTACTAATACTATAGCATTGGCAGTGCTATTGCTTTGGGTTGGAACTGGAAGAAAAAGATATTTGTGTCTTGTTTGAACAGTCTCCTTGCTTCTGTTAGCAGTTAAGACAGTTTTATTTTTTACAACAACAGGGTGGTTGACTTTTCTTTCGAAATTGGACTTTGGAGTGGGTTACATTAAGATGGCAGATGCAGTATATTTGACGTTAACTTGATCAGTTAATGATTAAGAGAAGGCTTCGATTATTTACACTTTTACAGATATTTAATTCTAAATTATGAAGGTTTGGCAGTTTGAGTTTTTTTTTATAAATAAGTTTAATGGATTGGACAGGCAACAGGATCTTTTTTTGTCCATAAAAATTAGTTAAAATAATACATATTATGTTAATAGTTATTATACATGACATTTATATTTGATGTATGCCTAGCAAAGTTTTTTTAACTTCAAATTTCAGTCATTGTTTACATCCAAAAGCTTCAGTTATTCTGAAGAAAAGATTTCTACGAACACATTAGGTAACACTGATAATAATAGTAATAAATTAGAAGTCTGTCATTAAGTCTTTTTATTATTTAACATTCTGTTAATAATAATACTGTTATTAACAATAATAGCAAAACATTGGTAATAGTATTCCTTTAAATATTAACTAACCTGGTAATGAATATTTATTATTACCAATATACAAATAAGAGATGGTTTTGATTTAGGTTAATATTTTATTTTACTAATAACAGTGTTACTGTTAACCCAAATATTGGACTAAATACTATTTTGTAAAATGTTTCTAGCTTTATATTTGAACTATGGTTCTGCATACTATAATTGGCAGTTCATAACTAATCTAGTAGTTAGTACTACTACTAGTACTATGGAAGCCTAATCTTAACTTAAAGAGTATGTCAAAGACTTGCATCTCTGTTCTGCATGTATGATTATAGCACTGATACTGTACAGCAGAGCTTCTCAATCTTTTTCAATATCATTCACCCCTATAATTTTTTTACAACAGCTCACTCACCCCAGTTTAAAAAAAGACAAAGTACTAAATTAAAATGCAAAATTCTTTATTATGATTTCAATATGCATCAAACTACAACTAGAATAATGACTTTTTTTACTCTTCAACTTGTTGTATAATTGATAATACTCATTCACCCTGATTCTGATCTCATTAACCCCTGGATGAACCATTCACCCAGTTGAGAAGCACTTCTGTACAGTGTACTACCACAAGTAACACAAATTCATACTTACTAAGAGTGAGAATTTCAACATTGATGTATCACTCACTCATGGATAATATTGTATAGTATCACTACTGGTAAACAGTAATGTATCATTAGTCAAACATAAGGTACAGTTAAAAGTTTTAAGTAAATTATTTTTGGGATTAGCAATAAGCTATAAGGCATTATATTTGAAGCCATAGGAAGTAAACATGTGATACTAGCTTTAGCTGAACCATATTAACCTCCTTCTGTGACTTGCCTGAGATAAATTGGGCATCCTCCATGTTTCAGAAAATATTTCCTTAAGTTAATTCAGGCAAGTTATTTCTTGTCATGTTTTTACTTATTTGCCCAAAGTTATTTTCATGTTATCATGTACTATAATCAGTGCTTGCTTAATAGTATTGGAACTTTGGTTTGTGCTGATGTGTGTCAGATTTATTCTGAATTAGTTATCATAAACACTGGAGAAAAGCATTCCTATTCTTTGCTGCAGTTTCAATGAAATAATGTATATCACATATAAATTCAGATATGTAACATTTATTTATCGGGTATATTTTGTGCAGAAATATAATAATAGATCTTAAAAGAACTTTTTTCTGTTAATTTATAAGTATATGCTGCCAAAAAGTGAAATAGAAAATGGACTTTTTTTTTTTAGTTTGCTTCCAAACAAAGCCTAACACAGAAGAGGTTAATAGAGTAAAAAAATAAATAAAAACATTGGGTGATATAACTGTGAATAGGTTCTGTAACTGTTTCCCTTATGCATATAAGAGAAAATTCAGACTTAAATATGCAAATTTAGTCAGGCTGGATTAAGCAAGTGACAATCAAAATTCATCAGAGGCTGAATGTTTGGGTAAATGTTAACTTACTGTAAATATCTAGCTATTAGTATTAGTGATACACTTTGTATTAATACTTTTCTGATAAACTTAACAGTTATAAAGGTTAATATGATAAAATGTTAATATTGATATTATAACATTAATTTAACTAACAAAACAATTTACAGAAATGTGAGAATAATATATACTGTATAAAATCATTTCCGTAACTGCTTACATTGGGTGTGACTATTGTAAATTGAGCTCATAGAAGTGAGATCTAATGGTAATAGATGTGAAGACATAGCATTCTTTTTCTTGAAACATAAGTTAGTTAAGAACATTTGCAGTTGAAGAATTGCTTTATGGAACCAATTTTGGACTTTTTTATTTTTTATGAATAATGACTTATTTGAAAATATAGTTTAAAATAAGTCTTGTTCTCTGCATCTCATTAGTCAAGTGGGTAGAACTTCCCTACAATGCTTGTTTTGGGTTTTGTGCAAAATATGGATGTACAATTTTAAAGCTTTATCACCATGATAAATATTCATTGGATAGTATAAGAAAAGGAACCTCATTAAGGATACTAATTAGCATGGATAGGATAGTTCTGTAATGAATACGAAGTACAGAAATTGATATTAATGGTTTTGGCGGGAACAAAACCATTTGGGAAAAGTATCACAAGAAACAACTATTTTTTTATTCTGTTCTCCTGGTGTTTTATTGTTTCATTTCATATCCCACTCAAGTTTAATACATTCAGACACCTGAGTAGTGATTTATTCTACAGGCCTGCTACCCATGATGATTGAATCACAGGGAAATAGCTGTTTATGAATGCTCTTAAATTTTCTGCTTCTGTCCATTCAGCAGGTATTCCTTCAATGCCATTTTTGTACATGGATGGTTAAACTTAGCCTCCTACCTAATTTAGAGTTCTTTAAAGAGATTGATAGCTTGTAGTTAAATAAAATACTCAATTATATGGTGAAAAAAATCTAACTGTTTGTCACGTGCTATACTTATGTATAACTTATGGTGTTTCCATTAAATTTTCATTTTTGTGGCTTGTGGTTTTACTGCATAACCTACATTTGATTAATTCTTAAGGTACAACATAATAGTGATGGCAGAAGGCAAAGAATGTCCAGTAAAAGTTGCTGTAAGATCTCGACCATTGTCTGTGAAAGAAGAGCATGATGGAGCAACACGTTGTCTTGAATTCATTGAAGATAAATCACAGGTGGTAGTTGCACTTGAAAAGGGATTTACCTTTGACTATACTTTTGATGATGAGACAACACAGGAGACTGTTTACAAGAAGTGTGTTGCACATCTTGTTGACATGGTCCTTCAAGGTAATTAGTTCACAATATTTTATAAGGCAAAGTAGACAAACAAAATATAGTGGTTTTATATAGAGCAATTGGAATTAAAAGACATTGAAAAGAATCATTACTTTGACAATTTTGTGTTTAATGAACTATGTGGCCAAATTGTGAAACAATATTTTTTTAGTCTTGTTTTAATTCTAGATATGTATGTTTTGCTGTGATTTGTGTTTCTGATCAATTTACTTATGAAATTTACTAAATATTTATTGAAAAAGCTCAAAGTCAAATTGAAATAGTAAGAAGTGTTTAGCTTAATAATACATGCAGCAATGGATACCCATTTTAAAATAGATGTGTCTGTGGAAGTTGGTCCTACAGTTTGTAACATAACATATTTAAGGACAACAAGGAACTTCTTGGTCTATCTAAGCTGTCCCATCCACTAAAACTATTAAAAAAACAAAAGAAAATCTCACAGTTAGCTCTTATCATTTATATATTTATCTATCCTTCCCATTCACTCCCTTAAATGTGAAGGCAACTCATTCCAGAGGCCAACCACCCTAGTAGAAAAATATAACTGTCTTAGCCGAAGATGACTTCTATCCTGCCAAAATTTATATTTCTGCCCCTGGTCCTATCTTCTCACCATTAAGTAGGAAAAAAAGATTATGCATCAACACTATCAATTCCCCTAACCCTATGGAGACGGGCCATTACCAAATTAGCACAGCTCATATGGAGAATGATACACAGTGCAACAGTATTTATGATAACTCTGAGCTTTATTAATGTATCTTCACAACAAGTGGTAAGATTTTGTTAAAAATTACAAGTATTTTCAACACAAAGAATAGAATTATTTTAATTAAAGATTTGTTATTATATTCTAGTTACATGCACTCAGACTCTGAATATTTCAAGTATTATCATCAACGTATTGTGCAGTGAAATGTTTAGATTTAAAAACAGAAAAAATGTACATACCTTTTAATTTTTTGTTGAATAATCTTAAATCTTTTTTGAGTTATATTCTTAATTGTACATTTTTACTTTTTACATATGTTTTGTTTTCCTTTACTCTCCTTTAGCATTATTACTTCTCATGACACGTGTCAATGGGTGTTTTCAGGGTTTTTTTGGTAGCAACACTTTAGCCTGTCGCTATGGGTCACGGGTGAAAGGCCATGTCATCTCGTTTGTTGAATTGCATTCAAAATTTTATTGAACTATTATTTTATGAATTTATGTCAATAAGTTTGGTATCAAATTGTAGATTATAATCCAAATTTTATTGCTGTACATTATTCAATTTCTTAATTTAAAAAGTAAATATTAAGAAAAGCACTTAAACATTGATTTTTGTGTGTCACATGGTATGTTGAATACAGCACTGGTTCAAATTAGATGTTTGTGATGTCAAAATACAAAGTCTATAGTTTCATATGAATTAGAAGCTTAAATTACCAATATTAAACTAGAATATAAAATAAGAACCTTGTATCTTTTCTGTTTACTGAAATATTGCTCATGTACTGAATCAAACACATTGACCCCGCTCACTTCTTTTCATTTTTGGAAAAGGTCCCTTATATACACTTACTTGTGTATATGACATGTGTTAGGATGCCATCTCATTCTTTCAAAACAAGATTTCAAGGAGGTAGGTTGTGTCTTTAGTCTGCTAGAAATTTCATATTTTGTTTAGGCTGAAATACAGCTTAGTTACTAAACTTGATAAATTATAATGGAATTATATGGTATTGATATTGTAATTTATGATTTTTTGTTTAGTCAAATGTATATATAAAACCTAAAAAAAATATTCATTTCACATCCTCTATGTGTGAAATTTCTTAAAAACTTAGTGGGCTACGAGAAGCAGCAACCAAGTACAAAGGTTGTAACAAGAAGATGTAATTGTATTCTTTACTTCTTCATTTACTGTTCTTTATTTTTAAGAAAAATAAGTTTAAGAACTTGTTTGTAAAAAGTAATGATCTGTATACATATATAATGTATAATAATAGATATGTGTTTATTTTACAAAATACTAGTCTACTAAAACACAGCCAAGACAGGTTACTTTGTAAAGCCTAAAGGTCAGTTTTATACCATTGAATATGGTAACATGAGTGCATGTTCACTACATAATTGTAACTTCTGTATTGTTAGCCAAGCATGACTGGAAGGTCAATATAATAAAAATAATAAATGTATAACGTTATGAGATTTAGGCTATTTAGACTAAACTTTTGAGTTATAATTTGTAGTTATTCTACAACGAAAAAAGTATAGTTTATATTTATTTCCTAATTTTTTATGGCAGTTATGAGGTGGGTAAAATTGTCAGACCCCATATAGTTAGGGTAGAGAAAATAACAGATAAAATATAAAGTTCTACTGAAAACAAATGTTTGAAATGTTTTTAGAGATTACACAAATAATATTTGAGATGAGGAACAGTTTTTTTAATTATGACATGAAAATCACTTTGCACTTGGACTAGTAATGAAATAGACTTGATATTTTAACAAACAAATCTTTAGTAAAGAATACTTCATTAAAAATTCTGGTTTTCTGTGTACAAAATACTTGGAATCATTACTAAAAGTGTACCAAATTTTGTGAAGATACACATAATGCATTAAAAGTTATAGCATAAATACTTAACGTGTGCAAATATGTATATGAACCTGTGTATTTCATACCGAGCTCGTTGCGAAAGGGTAAATATCTGAAATCGTAATCTCACTTTAAAGTTTCTCATTAATTTTATCAGTATTATCTGGTGGTCTGTAACAAATTCCCACTAAAAGCTCTTTCCCTTTATATCTGCTAACAGAAACCCAAATTAATTTAGTCTCCTTGCTATTATCTTTGATATTCTCATCTTCAACAGAATTTAACTCATATTTTACATAAAGCCACTCTTCCCCCCTCTCCTTAGTACTCTATCCCTATTAAATAAGCTATAACCCTGTATTTAAAAGAAATTTCTGTCATCAAAATTGTTTACACTTAATCACGTTTCAGTTATTCCCATAATATCAAAATCCTCCATTCTTACCAGTGCTCTAAAGTTCTATTTTATTTCTTATACTTTTAGCATTACAATAGTAATGCCCCCCAGTGGTACAGCAGTATTTTTGTGGACTTACAATGCTAGAAACTGGGTTTTAATACCTTTGGTGGGCAGAGCACAGATAGCCCATTATGTAGCTTTGTGCTTTAACTACAAATAAACACAATAGTAACAATTAAGCCTAATCTTAGAACTAATTCTGTACTTTGTTTTTATGTTAAACGTTTCTCTACATCTTATTTTTTCTGCAATTGGTTTATCCTGGCCCTCACCACTGTCTAGTCTTAGTTTAAAACTTCCCTTACTGCTGAGTTAATAGCCCTTTCTAACAAGCCAGCCCCTACCCTATTTGAATGTAAATCACCCATTTCAAAAAGCTCCTTTTTCCCATTGCATTGGTCCCACAAGTCCAACCAGCCAATTTGCTCATCCTTACATGTTAACCTAAGCCTAACATTCAGCCCTAGTGACCTACATATAATTTCATCTCCATGGTTAATTCATGATAGTATCCCTGATGCAAATAACTTATGGCCCTTTTCTTTAAATGCTTTTATCACCCCCCTCCCCCTGTATTTAAAAATTAGCTCTTCTGACCTACCTTTTCCTACATATTGGCCCCTATGTGCACAACAAAGACTGCATCATTGCTGACTTCCTTTAATATATCTCTTGATCTGTCAGTTATATCCACCTGTGCTCCTGGATAGCATAGTCTAATTATTTTCTCTCTGTTTACCCTACAGTCTAACCTGTCCACATACTTTATTGAAGAATCACATGCAACTATAACCATCTTAAGTTTATCATTCACATCCTTTTCTGTCCCTTTCCTCCAATAGTTCCTCATCTGTACAAGCTAAAGGCTGAAAGCTGTTGCTTGATAGAACATACTCATTACAATTTAATCCACTATGTTTCTAACTTTCTTAAAGTCATTGTTAGCTGATGTATCCCTTACATGTTAGAGCTTACATTCCTCTTGAAATCCTGCTGCCATTTCTCACAGTTTACACATCTCTATCTATTGCCTCTACTCTAATTAGAGTGGTCTCCAATTTTTCCTCCAACCTGCAAACTCTACAAACATGTTGCACATCTTCACTGCTAGCTTCCTTTAAAGTACACACCAGAGTTCCCAGATAAGACCCATTCATTGCACACAACACACCTAAGAAACTCTGTGCACTTAACTCCTACACTAGTTTTAACCATTGTATTTGTAGCCTGGGAATAAATACTCAACATTAAATATAAGTAGCCTATTGACAACACTGTTAAGCCTAACATTTGAGAATTGAATATATAACAGTATTTAATCACTACTTTATCTTCATACTAAAGTAATTAAGTTTATCTTTAAAATATAAAAATGACAAATAACTAGTATTTACTTTAGTTGATATTTATGTAAATTGTAATAATACAATATATTTAGCATAATTTATAACCTACTTTTAAGCTGAGTTTAATTTTGAAACTAATGGAAGTAAAGTCAAGTAACTAAGTTTATCCTTAAAACATGAAGAGACAATCAACTAGTCTTTAGATTGTATTTATTTAATAAGCCTATTACATGATTTACCAATAAGTTGAATTATAGCTAAGCCTAAAGTAGTGTTACATGTTATAGTACAGGTTACACTAATTAGCTCTAAATTAAAGCTTTAACTCTACTTTTTTTATTTATCAATCTTTTTAAGTCTGGTTTTTATTTTGTTGAATAAATCAAATTACTACAAATGGGAATATTAATATCTTTATAGATTAGAAAATACAACTCCATCACAAAATCTCATTTTGCTGATATTTAATTCTGCAAATTGTAAACTAATACTTTTCTCTAAAAGGATGGGATTCTGAGTAAACACAAGGAAAGTTACTGCTTTTATATAAGAACGTCCTGTTTTATTAAATTGATAGATCTATATAGTAATAG